TATTGTTCTGAGTAAGGTCTGAAACTCTTTGCCCAGCATTCCGTCCACAGACGTGACTAGTGGGGTGAAAGAAGCATTTCATGTTTCTGTTATTATTAAGTATATTAAATAAATGTATGTGTCATATTGATTTTATAACATTATTATTTTATTTAGTGTGCCTTTTTAAAGATTTTAATGATTGTACATTTTTCAATAGATGAAGTCATATGGCCTTTCAAAGTAGACAAAGTGATGACACCACCACTGTCAATCAATGGAAGGTAAAGCTCGACATTACATATTTACTAATATCTAGTTTAAAAACTGAATATGATAATTCTGAACCCAGTAGGATTTTATTGCCTTGTTTTGTTTCTGATTCAAAACCTACTTCAGATAAATAAAATTGCCCGAAGTCTCCGTAATTAGTTATACTTACTAATTCCACTTCCTTACTTATATTAATGAGTTCTTATAAAAATATTTAAAATGGATAGCCATTTAAAATATTCAAATAGGAATAACTATACTATACTATACTATACTATACTATACCCAAAACTATACTAAACCCTTGGGTAAAGTCCAATACTGTTTCACTGTACGGTATTAAAAATTTTTTTTCAAATCCAATAATCCAATTAACACAAGTTTTTAAAAGTCCAATCGAATAATATATAACATATTATTCAATATCAACGCCATTATGAATTTTAAAAACTCTGTAGAAAAATACTATTTCACTGAATCTCTTGAAAAAAAAAAAACATAAAGCTGCATAGCATCCATTACTGTTTTTTGTATAGGTACAGTAGCACAGTAGTCAACGATTTTAAGCATTATATTCATGCAATTTGGTGTCTACATAATTTAAATACGGTATATATAGGGTAGGCAGTGAATTAGGAGGTATTTGCAATGGTCAGTTTACGGTACTAAATAATGCTCACTTTTAAGGAACAAGGATGAAATTAAGGATCGTATGGGTAAAGTATATGCACTGTACAATGATACGAGACCAGTTCTGAGCGATCTGTTTGACAAATGGTACCCTGTGGGGGGTTTGGTCATCAGTACTGATCCTGAGAAGATTGAAACTATCATGAACCTCTACGACATTGATAGATTCTTCAGGTTTTTTGAAGTCTTTCCCAAAACCCCAGGGTGCAAAGTGAAGCACTTGAAGAGGTAATGTTTTTGTTGTTACTCATTAAAATTAATGACATTTAAATAGGAAATAAATCTGATAATTTTAAGGGAATAATTCAGTGCCGGATTTAGGGTACTTGCGGCCCTAGGCCAAATTACTTGAGCGGCCCTCCCTCTGTGGTGGAAATTCCTTGCGATCGCGGAAGTAATAGTGAATATCTCCTATGCATCAAGGAGATATCATCATCAACACCCGTGATCGTGGATGAAATCGTAGACATCTTTCTTAAACCAAGTCAAAGCCATCATAGGTATCCGTGACCGCGGCAAAATCGTAAACATCCCCCGTGGGCTGCAACAAAGGGACATCATCCTCAGCACTCGCAACCGCGGCGAAATCGTCATCATATTCTGTGAGCTTTGACCTTGAGGACATCATTACCGTCACCCGCAACCGCAGTAAAATCGTGAACATCTCCCGCGGTCCGCAATCACGGGGACATCATCATCGACACTCGCGACCATGGCAAAATCGTAAACACCACCCGCGAAGCAGCAGTCACGGGGACATCATCATCGACACTTACGAATGCGGCAAAGTCGTATTGAAAACATCTCTTGAAAACTGAGATCATGAGGACATCATCATTGTTACCCGCGGCCGTGCCAAAACGTAAACATCCCACTCGGGATTGACACCTTTAGCCGCGGCGAAATCGTTAACATCTCCCGTGAGCCGCAATCACGGGGACATCATCATCAACGTTTAAAGTTTCTGTATCCATGATTTAAATTTTGTTTTGTTGTATATTGATGTAATTGTTAAAATATATGTGTTATATTTATGATAGGTTAAGTGTAAGAAAGGTCCATGTGGCCCTAACTTTTACAATAAATAATAATAATAAATCTTTATTGTCGTTTAGTAATATAAACATTACAATAGACAAGGTCAACATGTTTTGTTACATATGTTATATAAAATATTAAATATTCTACAGAAAATGTTAAATAAAGTTAAAAGAATCGACACTCGTGACAGCGGCTAATTCTTGAACGTCTCCCGCGGTCTTCGATCATGAGGACACATTACCGTCACCCTCGGCCACGGCTAAATCGTGAAAGTCTCCCGCGGGCCGCAATCACGGGGAAATCATCATTGACAACTCGCGACAGCGGCTAATTCTTGAACGTCTCCCGTAGGCTGCGATCATGAGGACACATCACCGTCACCCGCGGCCCGTGAACGTTTCCCGCGGGCCGCAATCACGGGGAAATCATCATTGACAACTCGCGACAGCGGCTAATTCTTGAACGTCTCCCGTGGGCTGCGATCATGAGGACACATCACCGTCACCCGCGGCCCGTGAACGTTTCCCGCGGGCTGCAATCACTGGGACATCATCACCGTCACCCGCGGCCACGGCAAAATTGTGATCATCTCCCTCGGTCCGCGGAGACATCATTATGGTCACCTGTGATTGCGGCAAATTTGTGGTTTAAATTAAATAATTTTTTTTATGAAAAAAATGTTTTTCTCAATCCTCTGCGGCCCCTTTTTGCTTGCGGCCCTAGGCCGGGGCCTAATCGGCCTAGTGGTAAATCCGGCACTGAATAATGTATTGGAATTCCTGGGGTGTTTGGAAATTCGCGTAGTCTGCAGGTTTGCTGTGGCGGTGTATTAATCTGTTGCATGACTAATAATAGGAATATAATAATCAAATTTACCTTTCATCAGTATTAGATAAATTTACACTTAAACTGTAAATATTCACAGTAAATATATAAAAGATGTTGCAGTGTTGTTTGGTTTCGACCAACACGTCAAATGCTAATGAAGAATTCTCTCTAATATCCAGAAGAGTAAAGCTGAAAGTGTAAAACTTGCGCTAGATAAGAGAGAAACGTTAAATAATTGTTAAAAAGTTACAAAACTTCTACTCACTTATATAGGTAATTAAAAATATAGGTAAACCCTTATTTTTTCAGATCAATACCATTTTTATCCTATAAAGTTGATTTCTGATTTATTATGTCAATGTTTGTCGTAGTTACAGTTAAATCCCTTGGTCTTCTGTTTGAATTTTATATCTAACATGCTTGACAACTAGAACAATTTTATTGTGATTAAATCCAAATAAATCAGGGGGGAAATTAATATTACTGAACAAATATTACTGATTGTTACAGTTTAGCAACTACTGGAGTAGAGAAATATTATATTACAGTAAGTTTAAATTTAAGATAAAGCTTTAATTTACAAATATAAGTTTTGTGAAAACTTTTAACAGGAAATATAACACCAACAATATTTTAAACCATCAATATACTTATGATTTGCAGAATGAGTGAACGACTTCAAGTGGACCTGAATGAAATACTATATTTTGACTCAGATGAAGATCAGCTGGATGAGGTGAAGTCACTGGATATTACTATAATCAGAGTTTCTCCCAAGCTCGGCTTGACATATGATGTCATGCAACATGGTCTGCAAGAGTACTTAGTGACTCATAATGTCTCTAGACCCTACAGAGGTATTGAGCTGTTCACCATGTCTCCTCCAGATATGCCTGTAAACAGCTGAGGGTGGATAATTAACATCAAAAACTGCTGTTATCCTATGCTGTGGGCCACGACAATCAGCTGTTCACAAAGAAAATAACTACATGAACTGTTGGCATCCACATGGTCTAGAGTCATCTTGTGTTTTATGTAATCACTACAAAAGATTAAATAACATAAATTAAATAAACTGGAGGAAAACTAGTGATTTGATTTCAACTAGTGAGCAATAAAGAATTTTAAAATTCAATTCAATTCTTTGCTTAAGCTAATTTATAATGAATACCTTGACTCTCTCTATATGGTGACTCATTTAGAGGCTACAATTTAAAATTAAATAATACATTGCAGTTTATTCACTTGGTACGTTATTATTTAGACAAATTTGATAGAAACTGTCATTGAAAGTTAATTATACCTGTGAAATGACCGCCACGTGCAGCACTACAGAACCGAGAACTTTTGAGAAAAGTTTCTATCACTTTCTTGTTCAATTAATGCGATATTTGATGGATATCTCTGTGAATCTCATCCTTCATCTCCAGAATTAAATTCCGGTTTTTTGTGTAGACTTTCTTCATCAATGAACCCAAGGTGTGACCCAGTTGTGTGGTGTAACATTTTCTTGCTGACCAATGTTAATAACTGAAATAAAAGTAAAGAAAATCAGAAAAGTGTCGGAAATTTTGTTTATTATTATTTATGTTGTGATTTATTCTAAAGCAATTCCATTGTGTTCAAAATAAGTTGTAAAACGCAAAATATCTTAAGAGAGTGGTACCAATGGACAATGGTAGTAATCTTAACAATTTAAAACATTTGAAAAGTGGCTAAAATTGTAGTGATAGCTACATGTCATTGTGGCTGTAATTGTGACTAACTACATTTGAAAGCAGCTTCCCTAACACTGCTAATAGAGAATATATCTGACATGTTTAACTGTTGAAGTGTTGTTAAACCACTATATAACCATCTATTAACCTTTTTATAATTTACACAAATCAAAGTCAAGGACGTAAGTTTGTTGAAATAATTACTTTAAGTATACTTCAAAATAATTAATTATTCTACACTTTACGGCTGGATCCAAAAATAGAACATTTAATTCAAAATAGTTTGTAAGCATTGATACGAGATAAGATAGTGAACATTGTAGAAATTAACTCAAGCCAACTTATTTAAATTGGCTGCTCAATGTAATTCAAGTGTAAGTTTAAAAAAATGGGTGATTAGATAGAAAATAATTTTTATTTTATTTGGGAATGAGTTTATAAATTTTGACAATATACAGGTAGTTGTACAGGTATACATTGTGTGAATTTTGTAGTATAAAATGGAGCATATTTTTGAAACAAAAACACTTTACATAATGTTAATCTTGTGTTTAAGTAGACTTATAGTTTCTGTAAGATCAGAAACAGTTGAAGAAATGTCTGGGCCAAAAAGACATAAAGGTATCTTCCGTAAACAGTCAACAAATAAAACAATACCGTACAGTGAACATCCAGGAAAGGAGCTCATCATCTTTGATGTCGGTGAGTATGTTTAGTATAGAAATAGTATATTCCTTCACTAGAATCTAACGTGACTGATTTTTACAGACATGCTTTTACAGACATGTCAGCTGTGCTGCAGTTACCATAGGTTCTGGCGCACACCGCTGGGAGCGCCATGTAGTTACGGCGTACACGCTACGTAACTACACGTCGCTCCAAGCGGTGTCAGTGTGTATCAGAACCTATGGTAACCGCAGCACGGCTGACACTCTGTATTTAATTCTTTTTGTCTATGATGATATTAAATAGTATACAAAGTCATAAGGTTTACCAACAGGGTGCAGCACTATCATTTTTTTTTGCATTTATGACAACAGCTAATTTGAACCAAATATTAACAAAATCTGTGGTACACAATGAGAACTTTTTTCTATGGTTTAAGTACAGTGGTAGAACATTATGGCTATGGTAGATGTGCTATACTATAGCATACCGTATAAATTAAAAGAACCAAATTTTCTTAAACTGTGTCCTCTCCCATAACTGCAATAAGCATTTTATACTCATATGCCAACCTCGTACGAAGGACAGGTACTCTGCTACTTTAGAATATGATTAAAATTAAATATGATTATGATTAATCAGCCCAACTTAAAATACACTTTAGCTATTAACTGCAATATTATTTATGTTATAGATGATACACTTTGGCCATTTAAGGTAGATAAGGATCCAAGATTCAATGACCCTTTTACAATAAAAAGGTAAGGTGTATAGCATAGTTTGTATTATGGCAGGTGAGAAATTAATGTGAAACATGATGATTTGTCTAATTTAAAACAATTTTTTTTTGCCCAAAATATAACTTTTATTTTACCAGTGCTAAAGTAACCGATACTTTGTAGTTAGTGACTACACAACTATTATACCGGTCTGCGGTTTGATGTCTGTGATACAAGATCAGGAGACAGGTTCCATTACACAGAAAACAAAAACTCATGGTTAGCGGTATTGGAAAACAAGCCTCCAAAACAGAAAGCCCATTCTCTAACCACTGAAACAGTTATGTTCCTGCTGATAAATTAAAATAAACCCTTTAAAATCTGCTTTGTACATCTTTCTCAGCTATTTTAAAACTAAGAATATTCATTACCCTTTCCCTGATTTACAGCGGAGAGAATAATACGGCGATTGTTAATGGCCACAAGATAGAGGCATACCCTGAGGTTCAAGAGACCCTGCTAGAATTGATAGAGAAGGGTTATGTGTTGGCAGCCGTAGCTTTGAGCAACAGCACTGACAAGGTGATGGCGCTGATGAACGCACTGGACCTCACCCAACACTTCAAGTACATGGAGATGGCAGAGGGACCGGACAAGATGAGTTTGATAACAGAGTAAGTTCCTCCATATGAGTCTGGCAACAGAGTAAGTTACAAAATGGTCTGAACATGGTGATTAGTAAGATCCAGCATTATTTGATTTGAGTCTAGTAACAGAGTACCGGTAAGTCATACAATGGTCTGAGCAATTGTAACTGTCTGACCCTATTATTATAGAATGTTCCACCATTTTCTGTCACTAATAAAAATACCCCCGCCGCAGCAAACCTGCAGACTAAGCGAATTTCAACTCGTCCTATTTCATTTTTGCTCAAATATTTCCATAATTAAGACATATTTTTATCCCCTATTTAAATAACATTAGATTTAACGAGTGCTTAGGTTTGCTGCTACGGGAAAGGTAAAAAGTGTTTTTTGACTATATGTCAATAGTATAGGATGAAATAAATAAATTTGCCAAATTTTATCAATATATATCCATAAACAAGTAAACTACAACAATTTTCATTTTCTCCATAAGAATAACATGGGAATTTTAAATTACACTATTTTTTAATTTTCTCCGTGACCGTTAGGCATACAACAGCGCTTCAATATACTAAATTATTTATTTTTTTAAACTCTACAAAACGGTTTAAAAAGAAATTGCAAAATTTTTTATTTTTAGGGTCAAAAATGGGAAAACCCCATTTTTACCCCATAATACCCCCGTAAACCCCCGTTCCCATAGTCCGATCATGCTGGTTCGCGAACTCGTTCGAATAAACGTAGGTTTACACGTTTATACCAAATTTCATTGAAATCGGATCATTTTTGCTCGAGTTATCGCGCTAACGGACACATATATCCTACTAATATTATAAATGAGAAAGTTTAGATGTATGGATGTATGGATGTATGGATGTATGTTTGTGACAAGTGAACGCGAAAAATACTGGTCGGATTGGGCTGAAATTTGGCATGATGATAGCTCACATTCCCGGTTAACATATAGGCATATTCTTATTTCAAAAATCCTTTCGGGCTCCGCCCCAGTGGCTCTGGAGTTTCCCATGTTAACCTTATGAGAAATGGAATTATTGAATATTAACAGCTGTTTCAATTAAACAAGTTGGTTCTGTTCTATGATGTTCAATAGCATTAAAGTTACAAGGATTACCAACAGGGTGCAGCACTATTATTTCTTTTACATTTATGACAACAGCTAATTTGCAACCAAAAGGTGAGTGAGCGTAGCGAACGAACTTCAACCTGGAGGCGAGTAAGCGTAGCGAACGAGCTAACCTGAAGGCAAGTGAGCGCAGCGAACGAGCTCCAACCTAAAGGTGAGTGAGCGTAGCGAACGAGCTCCAACCTAAAGGTGAGTGAGCGTAGCGAACGAGCTCCAACCTAAAGGTGAGTGAGCGTAGCGAACAAACTTCAACCAGGACGTGATTGAGCCATGCGAACGAGATAATCTTGAAAATTAAGAAGTTAAACGGGGCAAAGCCCGCGGGTTACAGCTAGTAAATATATATATATATATGAATTTGAACGATTAGTGTTTTTGGCCTCTGGGGACATCAAAATGAAAAAGTAAATCGGTCCCGCGCCCAGGTCTTACCATGAGACCGTCGGTAATAACTACTTCCCTATAGGGAAATTCGCTAAAAAGTAAGATCCAAGATTGTCCAAAGTCTGCAAACAGAGTAGGTTCTAAAATGGTCAGAGTTATTATTGCAGTTTTTAAGAAGACCTCAGTTCCTCCTAGTTATACAACAAAAAAGTGTTAAATGTGTCATATTTAAGAATCACATAAAATTTTCTGCTCGGTAGTCAAGTTTACGCTGCATGATTAATATGCTTTAACGTGAACACATGTTTTTGCTGAGTTTAGGACAACCACTGTTTAGCCTGGCATCTGACGGTCAACAACAATGCAAAATTTACTCCTGCCAACTCTTAAATGTATATGTCAAATTTTAGGTTTTAGAATTCAGTTAAAAAAAATGTGAAAGTACTTTCTTGGGTCAAACTGAATGTTTATCATCGAAACCTGTGTCTTACAGCAGTAAGTTTATTATTTCTTATTTTTAGGATATGTAAGAGAAGTGAGATTCCACTAGAGGATGTGTTGTATTTTGAAAAAGACTGTGGACCAGAGAATTGTATGGATATGATTTGGAAACATGTAATAATTTATTGTCTAAAAGATGGGTTGAACAAAGAAACTGCAAGGAAAGGTCTTGTAGTGTATAACATTAGACCAAGGAAAGAAGCCAAACATGGACCTCAGAAAGTTGAAGTGGTTGAGAAAACTAACAAAAACAAATGTCGTCCAGCTTACGAAAAAGACGGAACTGAAATAGAAGGGTGGGACTACAATGCAACGAAGATTGACTACTCGTGACCATTACAAACATCTCCTTTAAAAACTTCAACAATATATAGTCTTACTGGTAACTAATGTGTTTACAAAAGTTGTTTTTAAAAAGCAACGTTTTCATACAAATCACCTACATGTTTACGTTCTAGGATTCAAGAAAATTCAGGAATTAAAACAAAAAATATCATGTTCATTTTGTGCAAATATGATAGAGAAGATATTCATTTTATGTTGGATGAAGGAGTATTCACCCTTCCTATTGGCTTAACAGGAGTCAGCTATCAGCTTATGTGTGATGCATTATATGTATTTCAAACAAGAAAAATTTATGCTGAAATAAGTGATGATAAGCTGCCGACAACTACAGAATCAAAAGTACAAAGAAAACTCAGGAGGAAGAAGGAAAAACTAGAGAGACGAGCGTTAAAGAAACATGACAAATCTTACACATAGGCTGTGTGTCTTATGCCTAAGCATTAACAAGGTTTTTTTGCTATTTAGCTGTGATAAAATATTGTAAATACTGTCATAAATAAATGTATTACAACATTGAGTTATTACAGAACATTGAAACATTACAATTCATCGTACAAATCTCTTGTGTGAAAAAAAAATTTAAAAGAATCTATCTTATTTCCAAAATTTTACCCATAATTCGCTCATGGGTGCCAGAACCTGGAAATCATAAGTTAAATCCATACTGTATAGAAATATTATTTCCTCCTTTATCCTTTGTAAGTGGGCATTTTGAAAACAAAATGTTGTGCAACATTAATTTAATCTTTTTGGTTTGATATATTTCTCTATGCAGACACGTGGTTTATAAGGTTTAACAATGATCACATGTACAAACCTAATGGATGCAGTAGCTAGTTTAATGGTGTTCTGATTCCTAAACGCCACTTAGTTTACGGTAACTAAATATAGCATATCTGGTGTTTTCCTCTTTTATCTCTCCGAATATTGTACAGTTGCATGATTTTTCCTGGTTATGAAAATTCTGTCTAGTCCTAATAGTAATTATACATTAGCTTATTTTTTAAATTAAGTGATATTCTTTATAATATTAAATTCTTTTCTTCTTTTGTAAATCATTTTCTCCCTGAGCAATTGTTGGAACATAATGTAGCAGTCTATGATGTAGTTACACTGTAATTACTGAAGTGGTGAAGATATTGTTCCAATCAGGATTGGCGTGTGGGAAGGACGAGGAAAGGTTTCTCAACAACACCGAGAGTCAAACTAAAAAGTGCCAATGATATTAGATTGATCCAATGGCAATTACCTGTTAATATGACTGTAAAACCCTGCAGACTAAGCAAATTTCTATTTGCCTGATTGGATTTCCACTCAAATATATCCTTAAACATGTCAGATTTATTCTCTATTTAAATATCATTAAGCTTAATTGACATGATCCATACGGCCATTCCTTTATTCCTGTCCGCTCCCTATGACTGAATGGGCCCTCTACAACTGAAGGTACACTGGATTCAATCTATTTCAAATCAACATTTTGTTCAAGAATAGTATTTAGATTTTGATTTGATTTATAACAACTACTATCTATGACAAACTCTTAGAATTGAATTCAAAATTTACTTTTATAGGCTTTGTTCTCATTAGTATATCAATAAGCAGTATAATGTGAATGTGGAGTAGTAGAACCAGTTTATTTAAAGATGTTCAATCACACAAGCATTATGTGTTAGGAAATAAATCTGAGCCGATGATGGACTAAGAAGATATGACAGAAAAATAATGTGAACCCTTTATACACAGTATACACTGTTTAAGTGACAGTTTATGGTGATTTAAGATTTAACCATTAACTAAGCACCCTTTGCCATAATCCATCACAATGATTTTCCCGCAGTTAAAAAAATACCTAGTAAATATTTTGGTAAACAACATTTTGGTTTGTGTTTGTATGGTTGTGTTATGGCTCAGTGGAAGAACAGAAACCAAAAATGTTAGAAACATGTATACGTTCAAGGGAATTGATACTGTGCACAAGGATCACAACATGGTAATATTTGTTTTGGGTGAGTAGATGTAAAAAAATATACATGTTAGTCTAATAGGTGTTTATTTAAGAGGCAAATAATTTATTAAATTTAAAAACCCTACCAAACCAAAACAACTTAATGTAATAAGTTATAGTACAATTTTGACATGGGTAAAATAATAAAACATTTGCTATTTAAATTAATAAAAAGCTGGTAATTATAGAAAGAAATAATGTTCAGTTAGAGTTTTATCAACTTAATTCACCAAATCCATTAATTTTTTTGTTTTGCATACTGTTTTACTACTTGTTTTACATACTGTATGTGAAATCCTGGCAATCCTTTCAACAAAGTGACAAAATGAGGCTAATAAGTTATGCCAGAGTCGTAGTTAATAAGTTGTTTATTAGCTTAAATAATAAACATAAGGAGTAGTCTTTAAACTCAGTCGTTTTTAACCACTGTGGTACAAATTTCAACCCCCCAGACCTCTTGAGACAGGGAAGGCAGAGGCAGGTGTTTAGAAGCGATGGATGTCTATTGGCACACAAACCTTTTTGAGAAATCTGTATAGATATATTGTAACAAAATATCTTGAGCTTTGGTTTTGAAGAAACACTCTTTGAACATAAAGTTGATCTTATTGTTTTCCAATAATAATGAACTTATATCATGGTGATCCAGTAGCAAATTTTGCAGGGGTCCCGCTACATTTTCTTATGCCATTGTGTAAACCCCAATCCTATTTTTATGTTAAGTAAGCAAGCAAATTTCCATCTAACTACTAACTGCGCTTCTGATCCATACTCCACTTTAGCGGATTATATTTAGTTTTTCTTAGTCTAACCACTGTGTGAATAAAAAAAAATATAGTAGGATATAAACAGTTGTGTAGGTAAACTGTAAAAGATAGTTTCTTTTGGTTTGATATCATAAACAATAATTAACATATGAATTCAAAATGTTCCAGATAAAACAATATGGCCTTTTAGGGTGGATCATTTAAACGAGTCATTAGCAAAGTTGAGGTAATTATTCAAATCTTAAGTCATACTCCAAATAAATTAGGTATTTAAAAATTTAATGTGAATGATGCATTTTTGTCATGAAAAGGTAATTTGTCTGATTTTGAGCTTTACAGACTGAAATATTGGTTAGAAAAGTAACAGCCAAATTTTTACTCACTATAAGAGAGTGCAAATTAACAATAACGACTGAAGTGAAAGCTAATACTTGACATGTTCTAAAATCAAACTATGATGTTGATAAATTATGATAGGACACAATGCAGTACAGACCATAGAGTAACATTGTAATATAGATAATATTATTAGGATAATTTTTTATGAAACATAATCGTTACTGTAATAGTAATTTAAAAATAATATACAAATTTTTACAATAATTTTACAAATAATTGATGAAAGGTCGTCATCTGTGGCTGACGATCCAATGATGCTGGCGACATTTCCTTTTTGAATGGCCGTGGCAATCCGTTGGACTAGGTAGCTTCTTACTTTAAAGTGACCCGTTTTTTTCAATCAGCTTGCGGCCTATTTCATCTATCCAGTTCTTGCCTTCTTTGCACCTTGGCCCAGCAGTTTCCACAATCAGGACAATTGACTGAAATCCTCTTATCTCAAATATTGGTGTATATTATTAGGGATTATTTAGGTATTAGGTATAGGTAATTAATCTACTGTTTGCATTACAGTATTTAACATCCAAGTACCAATCTGGTGTAAGCAATACTTTCATTTACAGTGAAATAAAAACTTCAGATCTTGGAAATCTTAGGATCTATCCGGAGACTCATTCATGTTTGGATTTCCTCCAGAACGAAGGTTATATTCTAGCTGCTGTGTACAGCTGTAAGGTTCCTAACTTGGCTGAGAATCTTCTAGATGCCTTTGACTTGACTAGATACTTTGCATATCAAGTCTGCAGTGAGAAGGACAAGGCAAGCTCCATAGTCACGTAAGTAAACCCTGACGATTAATCATTATTATCAGATGTGGTAAATTAAAGTGTAGAAGAAAGTAACCATAGGTTAGACTTATTCTATCTATATAAGAAATACACTTCATCACCAAGTTAAAGCTGTATCCAGTTAAAAATAAACTTATTGTGTACCTACCTAGAGTAATTGAGATTAAATCATTGTCAAACTTATACTTTTCTGCATTTGGACTGATTAGGACACATCTGTACAAAACTGTTGAAATTATTATTACTTTATTTACAAAATATATGTTTTACAAAATGATACAAAAATAAAATTAAAATTTACCTTTTCAAAAGAATCATAAATTATATTTCAGCCTACACACCCAGTCAGGGGTGGATTTTGAAGACATGCTGTACTTCGACTATGACCTAAAGGAAAACTTGGGAATCTTTGAGCTAAACGTCACCTTTTGTCCGATAGATGACAACGGCATATCTATGAAAGCAGTTGAGAGGGCTCTAAAACTATTCAATGTCAGAACAACGTTAAAGCCTCCTCTTAGCACTACAGAAAAGCACAAAACGCAAAATGATTCTTCAGAGTATTCAGTGCAAATTGATTACAAAGAATTGAAGACTTTTACACATTTAAAAACAGAAGAGGCTTTTGCCAGTGATTTAGATGAGAAGGAAAAGGATGAAGAGGATTATTGAAATTGTTTTACTAGTAAAATAAAGTTCTAAAATATTTTGTAGATAGTTTGATTGATTCAATAGTCAGCATTAATTTCAATTAAAAATCTTTGGGCAGCTTGAAAAAAATCTTAATCCATTATTAAGTCCACTTTAAGATGTCTTTTCTCGTAAACTTTATTGGAATTTTATTTCACTATACACACTATATACTGTGTTTAATTTTTTTTCCAGAGGTATACATCTAAAAGATTGAAATGCCTTTTAGGTTTGTACAAGTAAAGTCTCTTTTTTGCATATTTGATAGAAAGCGTGGTTAGTGTTGATGTTCCTGCTAAGGAGGTGGTGCCTCTGTTGTAAAAACTGACAGACCCTTCTCAACATCCTCCGTTGTTACTCCTTTGTCACTTGTCTGGATACAAACTGTCCCCAGCTCCGCAATGTCTGGTATCTCCTCGTACTCTCCGTCAAAGTAAAGAATGTCTCCACAGTCAACTTTGAAATTCTGAGAGATTCTGTAAGCATTTAGTCGAAAAATTTAGTCCAAGGATAAGAACATGCACTGATTAGTTGCATGGTACTTACAATTAATATGTGTTTTACATAAAAATTCACTGTTAATAGCCGATTGGAACTTAGAGAAACTTTCCTATTCTATAATGATAGTACACATGGTGTCTATGTAAAACTCTATACTATGGTACCTTTGACTATTTAACAGTCGGTACTCACTATGAAATGAAAAGAAATTGCACTTTATTGTTACAAAATAATATGATTCTATACAGCTGGTAAACAGGTCATCAGTAAAAAAAATTATCATATCAATAAAAGTGATAACAGTCTAAAACCATTGACTATCTACAACTAAAACATATTTAAATAAAATTATACATTTCTTTCCAGAAGGTACTGTTTGAACTTTTTTAAACCTTGAAATATTGTAAAGATCAGACTGTTGTCTTACTATAAAACCATATAATATTTATTTCAAGGTAAGCTTTGTAAACTTCAAGGTGCAGATTTGTCGTGTGTACAAGCAAAAGCTCTTGGATACAGTACTGTGAATTATTTGGTAACAATTTTTAAGATTTACATTAAAATCCCCTTTAAGACTTTACAATAGGTTTCCACCCTAAACATTACTAATAGTCCTTTAAGACATGTCCAAGAACTCTAAAACTCGCAAGCATAGGTACTCACAATCTAACTAGCTCCTTCCTAGGTGCGCTCATTGTTATTTTGTAGGTAATGAACTTGTTGAGGTCAAACCACTGAAGCAGACTCTCTATAGAAGAGTTGTCTGGACTTTGGTTTACAAAAGCAAGCTTGTAGCCTTTGCTGTGAAGGGAACTGAGGAGCCCCGGCACCTGCGGGTAAGGCTTCAGAGGTTGAAATCCATCATCTAGGACAATCCTGAAAAATATTTTTGGTTCTACAGCTTTGGTTGTCAAAATATAATATTTGTAATAAATTTCAAGTTTTTGTTTGGGAATGAATATGTAAATCAAATTGAGTTCTTTGTAACTCTGTTTATTAGGTACTTTGCAACAAATTTCTGTCCTTTTGATTTCCTTATTTTATGAAAGGGTCTCAATACTCTCAATCTTCTTAACTGTGGGTTTGTAGGGTAGCAGTCATGCTGTACACTGTCATTCAAAGAATCTAGTTGCTATAGTCAGATCCCTTTAAGAACCCTAGGGTTCTCTTAACGTTGGTTCTTGCTCATCCCCTTAGGGTCTTCACGGACTAAGGGAATGTGTGTGCATATCTAACAGGGTAAGACATCCAAAGAATACAGTATAAAAGTGCTACAGCACGGACATCTTTAACTCTAGGCCACGGCCTGGTAGAATTGGCATTGCTGCAAAGTAGTGCTGTTAAGTGCCAGGCATCCCATAAGCTAACATGGCAGACAGGTGACATCCGCTGATATAATCATGTACTGTATCATTCATTTGAATTTAAACTTATGTATATGTATTAAAAGATTGAAAATAAAACATATACAAGCAAACCTATACCAAACGTTGTTCTATACCAAAACAATATTAATGGAAAATCTATTTCCGTACATATTTAAAATGGAGTCAATATCTCCATAGCCCAGTAACCAAGCTTTCGTATTCTTAAAAAATACACAAATACGCATTAGCTCCCTCTAAACAAATCAGCTAGCACTCCTGACAGTGTTGCCAAATTGAACACGGCCTGAAGTTAAAGGTGGCCGTGGCTACCAGTCATCATACTTATACTTACTTTATACTTTTCTTTGAAATGGCGATCATACAAAGTAGGTATTTTAAGCCAAGTATGAATGGAGATGTGAGTGGCACGATCTTGTTAGTGACTAAGGTCGACATAATTTCAGTTCGGGTGTTAAGCCACTCCAAAAAATACTGAGGCAGTAAAATTTTACACACAAGCATTTCTGTGTTTAAAATCCATAGGTAACCCAGAATTTATTTTGGATCAGAGTAACTTGATATATTAATTCAAAGCTGAAAACATTGAAGAATATATGGGTTTTACCAAGATATTGGAAAAAACATTGAGTAGGTACGTACTTATATATTTTTACCTAACCCGCCATGTTAAACTTCCCTATGCCAAGCGTGATGTATACAGCTTCTTTACTTTTCGAGTGATATGTAAAGTTGAAAAAAACTCACTCGGTGAGTTAATGAAACCCATTTAAATAACATTGAGTGCTTAACTTAAAAAATATACCTCTATGGAGCCAAGGACGTTCAACGCTAGAAATAAGCTGTGCGCTTGAATTTTATTGTTATGTTTTGAAGAATTTTCCTAACCTAGTTTGTAATGTAACCTGTTTGTAAATGAACGTTACTGTTAGAAGATGAGTGAAATGGATAATGAAAAATATTACTCGCAACCTCCTGTATATTGTTGGGTCAGGTAAAATCTTGTACGTTACACGTTACGCAAGAGCGTGTTTACATCACTTAGGTAAATTATGCAACTCGCTTTCGCTTGTTGCACAACATTCACCTGCGTGATGTGAAAACGCTCTTACTACACTTGTAAGGTAAATAAATAGCTATTCTCAAGTTAGTCAATATGAAAATTAGTATAAATGACATAAAATATTTATAACTTACCCATTTTTATTTTGAATTGGCCTGGTCACGTCAAGCTCGAACCAGAAAGGCCAAATAGTCCTATCTGCAGATCAAAAATCAAACAAAGGCTATAAATTGTATTTAGCAGTGATTTTTCCAATACACAATACATTTTTAAACTACTATTATTAGTACAATGGTTCAATTAGTTAGCTGACATAACAGATAAACTACAGAATGTTTTAACAACATATGTAACTGTAACTAACCAAAATGTATTTTAGCACTAAATTATATAAATTAAACTCCTAGTACATTTACTGCAAACTCACGATTACTAGAAAAATACTTCGTGCTGCAAACTAAATACAAAGTCATCTCCTGGTATGTAATCGATTCTTGAACTTTCTATTCTAGCTGTGGACTGTCAATTATTTTACCTCCAATACCAATCTTAATTGTACTTGATGAATTATGAAAATTTTACAGGTTTACTACATACCATGGGTTTTAGATCATTAATTGTTATAAGTATTCAATCAAATTATATAAATAACTAGCTGAACCCGGCAGACGTTGTCTTGCCTTTGACTATTTATAATCCCGCGGGCTTTGCCCCGTTTAACTTCTTAATTTTCAAGATGATCTCGTTCGCATGGCTCAATCACGTCCTGGTTGAAGTTCGTTCGCTATGCTCACTCACCTTTAGATTGGAGCTCGTTCGCTACGCTCACTCACCTTTAGGTTGGAGCTCGTTCATTGCGCTCACTTGCCTTCAAGTTAGCTCGTTCGCTACGCTAACTCGCCTCCAGGTTGAAGTTCGTTCGCTACGCTCACTCACCTTTTGATTGCAAATTAGCAAAATGCAAATGGTTATTTTCATTCATGGTTATTAATGACAGTATTTTCATGATGATCTCGTTCGCATGGCTCAATGGTTGAAGTTCGTTAGCTACGCTCACTCACCTTTAGGTTGGAGCTCGTTCGCTACGCTCACTCACCTTTGGGTTATTGCAGCTCGTTCGCTGCGCTCACTTGCATGGCTCAATCACGTCCTGGTTGAAGTTCGTTCGCTACGCTCACTCACCTTTAGGTTGGAGCTCGTTCGCTGCGCTCACTTGCCTTCAGGTTAGCTCGTTCGCTACGCTAACTTGCCTCCAGGTTGAAGTTCGTTCGCTATGCTCACTCACCTTTTGGTTGCAAATTAGCTGTTGTCATAAATGTAAAAGAAATAATAGTGCTGCACCCTGTTGGTAATCCTTGTAACTTTAATGCTATTGAACATCATAGAACAGAACCAACTTGTTTAATTGAAACAGCTGTTAAGATTCATTAATTCCATTTCTCATAAGGTTAACATGGGAAACTCCAGAGCCACTGGGGCGGAGCCGATTGGACGGATCACGAAATTGATGGTGTATAAACCTATTCCATGACATTCTACACGTATGTACCAAGTTTTGTGGCAATCGGTTCAGCGGTGTCTGAGTTTATCACTGCCAAACAAACAAACAAATATATATACAAACATCCTCTTTTATACTTATAGATTTTTATGCAATACCAACATTATGGAATTGTAATGTTTAACGTTCATAATGCTATTTAGAATTTTTACCACTTTACACCAAGGGAATAAATAAATTAGTTACATTTCAAAGTTACGTAGTACCGGTATCCTAGATAAATTATTGTGCATACTTTTAGGTCAGTAGTTAGTTTGAAGAAGAAAAATTGAATAAATAAATTTACCCATGTGGAAGATAATCATTCGTGGGTAGAGTTCTCCAGGAATTCTTGGTTTTGGCTTTTCTGTTGAATGTGTTGGTTGAATATACACAGATTGTTCGCAAAAACATTTTATGTCACAAAATAGAAGAATAAAATATGTGGGTAATACTAAATGATTTATGAACCAATTTAACTGCTTGGAGGGATGAAAAATCATGGTTAAGTATATGAAATCTAACAGGTGACATAGAAGTCTCAATCAGATTTGTTTGTTAAGATTGTGATATGAGATAAGATTAGACCAGTCACAGTGTGATTTACCCAGTAAATCTGGACAAATATGGATGAACGTGGAGAGATAATTTTCAGAAGCAAACCAAAAGCTGTATGTTTTGTTTCACACAAGGTCTATTGAGAAATTAAGGAACAGTTTGTAATAAAAAAAAATTATAAATGAGAAAAGTTCTATCATATACATTTGAAAGAGCAACTAAAATACTGCCTTTATACACAGTTGTCAAACAAATTGATAGGCTCTTATCATAGCTGTGTGAGCTTTGAAATTCCCTTGTGGTAGAATACCGTTGTCTGCGCTGCGCTAACAGCTAACAGCCACTGGCACCCTGTTTTCATCATAAAGCGATACATGTTGCTCACCAAGTCTTCATTTCGTGAAACATGTGATAACTTAATGGAAGAAGGTGTTGACCATAGGTTGGTTGAGGGAAAATCTTCCATTTGAATGAATAAAGTTACTGTGTGAGGTCAGGCATCTTCATACAAAAACAAGATTTTGAAAATCAACTTTAGTAATTTTCAAAGTGAATGCACCATTTCCTGCAGAACTTTAATTTACTACGCTGTTTACTTAAACTACACACACTTGACAATACAATTATAGGCCTATAGATATTGGTTTATAACCTACAAAAAAACATATTACAGACTGCACCTCAACCCTACAGAGGGATTTTTAACCCAGCACATTTATTAACTTGAATATTGCAAAGAACCTTCCATTGTAACGGCTAGAGGAGACGAGTTTTTAAGTAAAAAAAATATTTTATGAGAGACTAACTTAAAGCAATACGATTCCAAAATAGAGAAATAATATATCTGATTGGGGAGAATACCCAAAGGTGGGAAAAGAAACAAAATCTTAAAAAATACTTTAAGTTTTGTTTATTTGAATTATTCCTTGAATAAATAACTACTCTCGTGGGTGTCTTCAGAGTACGAGTATTCAGGAGATTCTGTGCTGAAGATGTGAAAACCTTTCCTGACATCTCTCATGGTGATTCCTCCTTCGTTTACTAGGATACAGGCAACTCCAAGATCAGCTATTGGTTCCACATCTTCAAACTTAGACACTAAATACAGCATCTCTCCATACCACAAGTCCTCTTTTAAGTGTATACTGTAAATAAAACAAGAAATTCGATTTGTACTGTCTAGCATCATTCATTCAAAAGTAAAATGTTTAGTACTAAAAAATAAATGCTTTATTTTTTCAGCATTTTTACTACATAAATAATACCAAGTAAAGAATTTGTTTTGTGGCTCAACTTTAGGTGTTGAATTCTGTCTGGTGTGGTATGAAAATGTCCTTGATCATTGGGCTTTTTAAATATGTTCATGACTTAGGAATAAGCTCAGTCTTTAACAAAGCTTGCTGAGCAGGTGTCATTAGGATCACTAGTATCATACTTTACTAGATGATACTAGTGATCATCTAGTATCATCTAGTGATGATACTCATCAAAAAGTCAGTTTTATTTCCTCCATGAATAGATTAAATGGTTGAAAGTTCTAGTTCAAATCAAAGGCCACATTGTCAAGTATGAGTAAAGCTGCTAGTTATTGATTAAAATTTACTTACACCTCAAAATGATCAGTCTTGTTTCCAGGGTAAATTTCAATATGAGTTAGAAACCTCCTAAGGTTAAAGTGATCTATGAGTTGACAAACGGTGTTGTTGTCTACACTTTGAGAAATCAGAGCCAACTTGAACCCTCGACTCCGGAGTTCAGTGAACACCGAGGGTATTTGGCGATAGATCTTCAAGTGATTGAAGGCTTGGTCTACAATCACATTTCTGTGAATAGGAAACAAAAATTAAAGTAAATAAATACTTTCCAATTGTTAGATGGTAAACATGAAATGATTATAAACTAGTACCGGTAGTTAGATACAAGTAGGGTCTAGGTAAAAAAATCCTTTGTTTTCTATCTCATGTACATAACATGTATAGCTATTGGCAACATGGTTGGTTATACTTTGTTTTACACAATGTTAATTCATAAAAAGAAACTAAAAACCATTGTAATTCCTATTTCTACATATTTATAAATAACAACTAATATTTTTCCCTATTGAGAATAAACCTGAAAGATCGTTTTGCTGCGATGTTGAATTGGAAATCATACAATATCAATAAAGAATATATAACAAAGAAAATCACCCAAATTAGAGCATAATCGCTAAAAATCATTCTTTTTATATGATTGCTTAAAATATACTGTATTTATATATTTCTAAACTACAGTTCCCATCCATTGTTGCTTTAGTAAAACTATTATGTGCTTTTACCTAACCCACCATGTTAAATTTCCCTATTCCAAGTGTGATGTATACTACTTCTTTACTTAACGAGTGATGTAAAGTTGAAAAAACTCACTCGGTGAGGTAATAAAACCCATTTAAATAACATTGCGTGCTTAACTTAAAATATATACCTCTATGGAGCCGACGTTCAACGCTAGAAATCAGCTGTGCGCTTGAATTTTATTGTTATGCTTCGAATAATTTTCCTAACCTAGTTTTTGTTTGAAAATGAACGTTACTGTTAGAAGATTAGTGAAATGGATAATGAAAAATATTGTTCGTAACCTCCTGTATATTGTCGGGTCAGGTAAAATCTTGTACGTTACACGTTACGCAAGAGCTTGTATACATCACTTAGGAGATTTATGCAACTCGCTTCCGCTCGTTGCACAACATTCACCTGCGTGATGTAAAAACGCTCTTACTACACTTGTAATGTAAATAGCTATTACATTTGTTTATGTGATTGGGTTTCTTTACATCTAGAAATCATAAAAAATACAGTATAGGATTTAAAATGTTTAAACATTTCTCTAAAGAAAAAGAAATAGAACATACAAACAACATACTTATTTTTCACATGAAGAGGAGTTTTCAAGTCAGCTACTTGAAAAGGCCAAACTGTTTTGTCTGAAAAGGTGTTAAAATGTTTAAGCATAAAACAAGCAAAATCACACCTATGACAGCCATGTTAATTGTTAAAAATTATTAACTGTTCCATTTGCAAGAATTTATTTGATCTTTTTAACTATTTTTTTCATAACAATATTGTACTGGTCAACAATGATATCTATTTATTACCATAACTATATCATCATATAGCCACTTCTAATACTATGCCTGGTGAGACAAAAGTGGCAACACAGATGTCCCAAAACCATTCTGTTACAAACCAAAAACAGCTGTTGCACTAATATTATATTGGGGCAATGTTTATGTTTACATGTTTATTACTACTGTTATCACGTGGTAGTAGGCATGCCAGTGCAACCTCTCATCATTTCCGCGACCTTGTACTAAAGGAGGCTATGATATTATTAAAAAAAATTAATTTATCATCTTAATTATTTTAGATTTATTTTTATAATTGTAGTCAATACCTGGATCGAAAACAATAACTGATGGTCTACTATCGTCCCCTTTTGAAAACACAGATGCTGATTGGAAGGCATCGTTAAGATCAACTGATAACAATACAACACAAACAATAACTTTGTAAAAGAAAAATATCATTATCAAACAATATTGATAATGTTAATGGTTACTAGTAAAATTAGAATCAAACTTATTTAGTATACTTTAAAACTAATTGAAAATAGCATTATCGGACCACCAACGAAAAGATTTCAAATTTTTACTCATATTGTTATTTTATTCATACAAAGTACCAGTAATTTAACTATTTATTATGCAGCCATAGTTTGACTGCAACCACTATCCAATTATTTGCGGCTGATTTCTTGCATATAGTGCTTGCTAGGTCAGTAGTTTTTCATTATTTAAAACTGCACTAAAGTTTTAACGAATGAAGTCCAGAATTCCAGTTTTAATGTGTCCCGTTGTGTTTTCCTTGATCATTTTTTTTCATTACTACTGTACACCAGTGCAATGGCATTTTTACTGGAGGAATTAGAGTAGAAAGTACTTTTTAGGGAAAACGGTCCAAACCCTTGTTGTGAGTGTGCCGGGATTCGAACCCATCCTTCCCGGGTTTCTCATTAATTTTCAGATGGTCTTAGCTAAAGAAACAGCTGTTCTTCGACAGCATCAAAAAGCTCAACTTGGTCCAGGTGAGCAACCTGGGTCGGAGAAAAATTGAACACAGTTAGCTGAACCCTTTATGTATTCAATGTTATAAAATTAAACATTGACGGTTTTTATGTCATTTTAGTGGATACACATCAAGACTAAGTTTAACAAAATAAACTTATATTGGTTGGTTTTTATTTACAATGATACAGTTGATATATTGTTATAATTTTAATTTAACGTCAAGGAACAACATTAGTGGTTATATTTGATGACGTGGGAATCTCATTATATCGATCTAATGCTTTTTTGAATTCACCGATTTCCAATCCATCTTTTAATTCGATTACAAACACTCCTAATTTTCTTATAGCATCCAGCTCACTGTTGCTTCTGTCAAAGTAGAAAATTTCATTGTAGGGAACTTGTGTTATTCTGTGAATCCTGAAAACAAATTTAAGATTAGGTTTCTGGAGTATACCAAAGTTAAAACACACACACATTCTGGTTTATGATTATTTCAAAGCTGGGAATTAAAACTAATCACACAAGGGGCCATGAGAGTCTTCAGTTGGTGGTAGCCAACATCACGACTGGACTAGCGTGACTGCAACGTCGCCCATTCACAAATTTTTAAAAACTAATTAAAATATATTAAACAATATTTTCAAATCAGCTGGTATTATGAGATTTGGCGACAACGCACTCTTCTCCTTAAAGTCACGCTGTAAATTAGTATGCTCCTCCCTCAACTGCAGACTCTTGTGGACCGTACTAACATTTTGTGGATGAGAAAATTTTGTGAGGTAAAATTTATTGTTTAGTTAGTACTATTAAAATGTTAAATGGTGTTAAATTATTTACATTTTTTAGACTATGAGACACTAAAGATAACTTTCCAACAATAAAAGGATTGTAGATTTCTGAACTAGTTTGCAAAAACAAAAATTGATAAATTTTAGAACCTCATTATTAAAATTTTTTACATATTTGTTTGGAAACCTACAATTCTATATGATCCTTTTTCGGTCCACCAAATATTTCCTGGATAGGAAAATAGTTGTATAAATTGAAGAAGAGGAGCAGTTTGGTGTTTGTTTCAACGTCCGGACTGTCTGATATGGCAGCCAACCTGTACTTTTTCAGGTACAAGGAATTTAATGCATCCACTGCATCTGCATAGACTCCTAAAGGCTTCTTCAAAAAATCAGTTATACGTGCACTGAAACAAAAATGTTTGTTAGGTAGAATGGGTAAGAAGAAATACAGTAAGCTGATCATACTCAGTGAAAATAATTACGCATATATGTCACCTCAAATTATTCGACACTCCTTCTGTATTCATATTCAGCATTTAGTACACACAAAATTGCTGAGTCATTGAATGCAGAGTGTATACACTATACTAGGTTAAACTGTTGACTTTATGCTTACCTGTACTGGCCGTACTCCCTAAATAGATTTATCATCCTTATCAGCTGTTTAGTTCCATCTGATGTATGTACTGTAGAGGTTTGGTTGTTTGCTATTTGTGTTATGCTATTTGACTCCTTAATCAGCATAGTATGTGTTATTGGTTAACGGAGAGTCAATTAAAATACGTCTAATAACACTTAAAACATATATTTACAATTTACACTTATACTCTGTTTTAAACAAGACGGTAAATATATACAAAAGAATGGTGATCGATTTCAATTGGACACTCCAGTCATCTTCAGACCCAATAGGTGAATGACAAGAATCTTGAATAGCGTCCCTACTTATATCCTATTGGCTACCAGAAATTTTGTAATTTTACCAACTTCAAAACAATTAAGTGAATTTAACATTCTATTTCTAGTTACAGGCATTAATCATTACCTGAGAAAAAAATCAATCAAATATTTTGAAATCTATATGAATCATGAGAGTAACGTTTATTCGACAACAGCACTGAAACATCATAAACAGTCTTTCAATTTTATAGGGCAATTAAGGAGTCTACTTAAATAGTAAAATGGAGGATCTGGGAAATGAATCATGCATAAAAATTACCAAAAGTAGGAGCAGTATCTATAAGTATTATCTATCTTTAGTTACTGGAAAACCTTGTATCCGTAATCAAAAGAGTTGGGATTCACTCTGTATTTGGTTTAGAATCATGTTGGAGATTCAAACACAAATTGTTTGAAAGGAAATGCAAAACTGTTAGGTAAAGTAACTTATATTAATCAATTTACATTAAGTGTTATAACCACTGCCTATACTTAATGATGATACGATGCAAGTATAAATAAACTTAAGGATTTACACATACGTTTTCTTATGTCTCTTCACTGGTGTAACAACATCAGTTTCAACTCGGAAAGGCCAAATCACCATATCTAAAACATTTCAAAAATGTTTATGAAGTATCAAAATGAACATTTTAATACCATAGACAAATAGAATAAATATAGACTGTCAAAGGAAAGTTCTGCGATTTTGTACAATACACAACTAGTTTTTTTTATGTGCCACAATTTAATTTAGGTATGATTTGAAGGATAAGGTAATCATGGTCAGTTGTACTTAAAAAATTATTAAAAAAATGAAAATAATATTATTCTTCCTGAAAATAATAGTTATTGAACATTCCAATTTATAGAATACCTTTACAGTTGTTTTTATGTCTTGTACTGGAGTGGCTATAAGACAAGAATACATATTCACAAATCATTTTAAAAATTGGTTTCAAATTTCATTCTTGCAAAATAAATTAAAATACATTTTTCTCAAATTGAAAACTATAACTGTGTCAGAAGTTTTTTTTTCAACAAATAAAATGTAAGATAAGATAGATAACAATTAAAATAATAATCTATGGATTTACCTAGACTAAAAACTAGTAATTTAGGCTTCCTTAGCTCAGGAGCTGCAGTTGAGACTTGTGTAGGAGTTTCATTGAAGTTGCACAGACAAATATCAGAACATAAACTGATTACCAAACTTGCCACAAATATAACCTGGCAAACACAAATCCCTCCCCCCATTCTGCCATGTTTACAGTTCAATCACATGCCAGACAAACATTGATGCACTCTCCTCGTAGAACTTGGTGCATTATAACAAAATATCAATGTATCTCATCTTAAAATCTCTATGACGACAATCGTAGAACTAATTGACGTCAGAGTTAACAATGAGTTAGGGAGTTGAACATAACAAGAAATATATATTTTATTTATAGATGTACATTTTGTTCCTGGTTAGTTTGTGCTATGATGGTTGATTGATTCACTATAGGTATGGTAGTTAAGCACAAAGATGTGTTTGTTGAAAGAAAATCATGTCAATAATTATTATGCTCATAAAAGTTTATCTATGGACTCATTAACAGCTTGAAATTCAAAGAAAGTTCATGTGGCTCATGAAAAAATGCGTACTAGATACCTTCCAATGTGCCTTTTTATCAATATAATTTTACCGAAGTTTTGTAGATCATTCGTTGATGTGGGAACAATTTTTAAATTTATGGAAAAAAACAAAATCAGGACCACTCCAGTTCCACTCGATCCTAAATTTTTCAAGAGCCTTGAGTACCTGCCAAAAATGGTAATTATTGAGCCAGGTTAGTTCTTATTTTGCAACAACATCTCAAGTAACTTCTTAAAAATAAAATATGCATAGACTATGTTACATGACTTTTACTAATGCACTTGTAATATGTTTTACATAGAAAAAATAATTAAATACAGACAGACAGCTGTGCTGTGGTTAGCATATGTTCTGGCGTCCACTGCTAGGAGTGCCGTATAGTTATGGCGCACACCGGTGCAGCACAAGTGTGGTAGTGCTAGTAGACGGTGAGGAGCCGAGGATGGCAGCGAATCGAACATCAAGCATGTTTCTAGCAGCACATCGTGGAACCTTTCTTGACAACCTATATTTATTCTATTTTGTCTATGGTTTTAACATAAGTACACAAAATGTATTAGTGTTAAAGTAAAAAAATATGTTAAATTATGTGTATAGGAACTTTTTTAAATCCAAGCATTGATATGTTCCACAGATGGAGTGTTATGGCCATTTGAGGTAGAAACTGGTGTTGTCAAACCGTTCAACATTACTGAGTAAGTTTGCTTACTTAAGATAATCTTATAAGAAAAATCACTAATTTTACAGTATTCCTTCGTTATTAAAACCACAAGTCTCAATAATTAAAAAAACATGACATTATACAAGTTTATAAAAAATTTATTTGACCTTTAAATAAACTGGGAAGCTTGAACACATTAAAACCACAAAATAACTTAAAAACCACTCATTTTAGCACGTTATTTCCAAATTTGTTTGGGGGGGGAACCCCGTACCCCCTCCTTTGCCTCCTCGACCCTTTGGTGACCCTACTCAAAATATATGTCTAGGACCGCACTTGTTGAAAAGGATGTTTTTTTTTCAAACTAGAAATTTTAAACCTCGTCACACTACTGGTAGTAATCATTGAACCTGACTAACTTGATAATTTGTGGACTCAGAAGTAGTCAAGTTTGGGAGTTGTTGAGTTATCCGGAACATTAAAATTTTTAATAGGTTTTAAAAAATGAATACTAGGCCTACTACTATAACAGACTAATTTTTACAAATAAATTTATTACCTACTGGATTATGAAGAGTATTTTTACATAAAGAGTAAACAACCTTCAAAGAAATGTCAAATATTTCAAACGAAGTGTTCTGATATAATTGCTTGAAAAGTTGAATCTGCTTGTAAGACTGTTGACTGTCGTGTCAGGTTTTACTGTATATCTAATAAATATTGGCTCAGAATTCTTTCATAATCTTATTTATAATGTGAGCATGTAAGTTACTACCAAAATATGTTGTAAATAATATTTAGAACAAATACATAATGTTATTCTTGTGTGTTTAACTTGAAAAGTTGTTACAGAGTCGTTATTTAAAACCTAGGTATGAAGCCTCGACAGAACTCCCGAAGAAAAATCATCGAATATGGAGTGAAGACCTCTCTATCGAGTATGTATAGGAATTAATTACTATAATAATACACGTAACATTTATTTTACAGTGGGTGTCAATGGATTTAATTTTCAATAAAAGTTATACCTCTGATTAATCGTTCTTTTAAATTAAAGCTTTGAAAGTTGAGGTGTGCTTGAAAAGTCTGATGACTGATAATGTGGATTGTGGATATTTATAGGCATATCTCCATTCATACTTGGCTTAAAATACCTACTTTGTATGGTCGCCATTTCAATGAAAAGTATTAAAAAACTATTAAAAAGCGTATTATTTAAATGTTTTATTGTTTGAACAAATGATTTGTGCAAGAATATACATGTCTAAACCTTTCCTGTGTTCGTACACAGTACTAGCAAGAGGTGTTAACTGTAGTATTGTGAACACAACACACTACTCCAATAGAATAAGAATTTCATGTTGTTAGCCTCCGGATCACTGGTAAAGTAATAAATAAATTGACGACAACCTCGAAATTCTGCATAAATGTAAAAGCGGCCGTTTCATGGACACAATGGAAGAGTACGAGATTTATAAGGCTGTGAAAAAAGAACCACACAATGTCCTAAATGAACAAAGAGGTTTCAAGTCTAATATTATTTATGAATGGGCAATAAGAATAGGTGAGTCGCAAACAAAACATTGGTCAACTCGTGATAAGCAAGTAGGAGGGGGAGGAAATACACTTGGAGATCAAGATAACGCATCAGTCTAGACCTGCCCTCTGTGCGTAACGTGCTTCCTGGTACCGTGTTTCGTAATGTTTATGTGTTATGTTCGTGTGTTCGTCCGTGTTTTATGTATATATGACCTTGATGGATTTTTACCATGACGACTTCCTATGGAATGAAGTTTTGATGTCATTAAGCCTGATGAAGTTCCCCCGGGAATGAAACTGCAGTAGCCTACATAGACTACAAAGGATCACTTTTGACAGTATAAGGTATTTAAACCATTATTTATTAGAATAAGAATGTCTCACATTCAATTGATTTTATATAAAACTAGCACACCCCATCGTGTCTTTGATCATAAACACATTTAAATTAAGCAAAATGAATAATCCATTAAAAAATTAATAAAAAACATAATTTATTTTTATTACCGTACACCCATAGTATCACCTATAGATAAATTGTATTCAACAAATGTAGTTAAATGTAGGCTATGTGACTGCTGAAGTTAAACTAAGGGAGAACTTCGCTTCATTTAAAACTTTAACAAAGCTAGTTCCACCAGGAGATAAATAAATAAATAAATAAATAAATCTTTATTGTCACATAACGTTTTAAATCTTAGCATAGCTAAAAAACAGATGACATTGTCAAGATTAAAAACTAACCTAAAATATACAATAATATGTCTTATGCACTAAAATACCCTTAAACAAGATGTCAAAATTTGCTGATCAATAAAATTAAAAAGTGAATTTCTTTGAATAGTAAGAATAAGACATATAAGACACTTTATACAAAATAACGTCATATTGTTTCATTGGTTTCGTTTAGGTATTCATTTATACTGTAATATGTTTTACTAGTCAGAAAATCAGCAAGGCTGCTTTTAAAAGATTTATTATGAATTAAAGTTTTTAGAGTTGTGGGTAGGTTATTAAAAAGCTTTTCCCCCTCCCCATATATTTAGGAGTTTTTTCTACCAGCTTCAAACGGTGTCTCGGGTATTGAAAATTATTCTTAAATCGGGTGTTATTAATGTGAAATGAAAAATGAAATGAAATGAAAAATCCTTTATTTTTTCAGGCAAAGTTAGGGCCACATGGCCCTTTCTTACACTTAACCTGACATTAAAAATATAACATAAATAATGTAACATAGGGATAACTTAATCTAATTAAACATAAAATATTTAACAATTCAAGTACCTACATATCTAAAAAAAACATAAAAATTTAACAAATAGAAAAACACATTCACACACTCTCGCATACACACATCAGCAAACGCGCAAGGTAACAGTAGCCCTAGGACACGCCAGCCGAGACCATCTTCTCAAAATAGAGCTTTTTCAGTGCCGCCACAAACTGGGAACGTTTTTCAAGGGTCTTAATGTGTAGGGGTAGGCCGTTCCACAGACGACAAGCGGTAACAACAAAAGCCCTGCCATAAGCTGTGGTCACATGATGAGGTATACGCAATGTAATCGAAGAATAACGAGACATTCGTGAACTACCCTGAGACACAAATTTAAAATCGGATTTGAAATATTTTGGGGAGCCTGTTTTCAAAATTGAAAAAACCAATGACAAAATTTTAATAAATCTTTGATCATTTAATTTCAGGATGTGTGCCTCAAAGTAGTATGGCGTGATATGCTCCATACGTCGCAGACCATAGACAAATCTCAAACAATAATTCTGTGACCAAAGTAATAATAATGAATAGTAATGAGTAGTAATAGTAATGAAGGTAATAATGTGGTCAAAGTTTTCACTAATATAGTCATCAAAATTTGACTGCACCTCTAACAATGTTTTGTAAATTATTAAATTTGGAATGGTCATAATATTCAATTTTCTAAAAACTGTCTTGCATGAAGATTTCCATGGTAAAAGGTCATGATTCTTATAATTTTCTTTTGAATTTTAAAAACTCTTTCAATTTCAGAGGAAAATCCCCAAAATTCAATTCCATATTGTGCTATTGAGTAAAAGTATGCATAATATAGCATGATAGAAGTTTTTAAATCTATGGAATTTCTTAAGCACAATATTTGAAAACAAGCTGAATTTAATGTTCCAATTACTGACTGAATGCACTTACTCCAGGTCAAATGTTTATCAATATACAGCCCTAAAAATTTTACATTATCATCAGTTGGTTGGGATTGATCAATGATTGCAACTGATTGAGGTGTACAAAATCTTACAAATTTGGTTTTCTCCTCATTCATTTTCAAACCATTGATCTCAAACCACTTTCCCAATTCAGTTAGACTTTCTTCAATTTTATGTTTTAATTCATCATTGTTTTTTGTTTTCACTACTGCTGTAGTATCATCTGCATAGAGTATTAGATTATTTGTGACATTTTTTGGAAGATCATTAATATATATAAGAAATAGAAGTGGCCCCAAAATCAAACCTTGAGGCACACCCTTTTTAATTTTTTGCCATTTTGATTTTGCTTTTAAATTATCCTTACAAATTACTGTTCTCTGATGGCAATTATTTAGGTAGGATTTTAACCATGATACTGAATTTACAGAAAAGGGATATAATTCTAGTTTTTTAATGAGTATATCATGATTGACACAGTCAAACGCCTTGGATAAGTCAAAAAACACACCCATTGTGCTATGTGACCCATCCAAGGCCCATGACACCTCCTCAACCAAGTCTGAGAGCGCTCTCATGGTACCTAAACCCTTTCTAAACCCAAACTGCTTGTTAGAAAAAATATTGTGGGTTTCCAGAAATGAAGATATTTGATATATTTAAGTGTTCAGGAAAAATACTGTTGAGGAATGATTGGTTTATAATGATAGAGAGTGGTTCTGCAATGAATTTAGAAGCAATTTTGACCAAATTTAGTGGTATTTCGTCCCAGCCTGACGACTTCTTGTTCTTGAAAGATTTAATAATTTTAATAACATCCTTCACGTCTATAAATTGAAAGTCAAATTTTGTGGTCTGCTTTTGATCTATTTATTTTATTGTAAGTTGTACTGCCTCACTTTCAGAAGAGGAAAATCCAATTTGATTTGTTATATTTATAAATTTGTTATTAAAATATTCTGCAATTTCCTTTGAATTTGTCATGGATTTGTCAGCCACCTTGATATTGGGAAAAGTAGTCTGGCTCTTTCCCAAACCTAATTCAGTTTTGATAATAGCCCAAGCAGCCTTCCTTTTATTTTCTGAGTCTTCAATAAATTAAGCATTACATGATTTCTTTGATTTATTACACACTTCACTACACTCTGAAACCACCTACATAAGGGTTTTGACCAGATTCCCACTGTATTTCCTTTCACTCAAAATCATTCACCTTATAAATCTTTAAGATCATTCACGGAAGATGTTAGGATCATTTTTGGATAAATTTAATGAACATCTACCTAAACAGTCAACACAAAAATCTAACTCAGCATATGCCGACCATTTGATTGATAACAACTTAAGCTATACTAACATCCATAATAATTTATAAATACTCCATAAATGCAATAAAGAGCCAATCATGACAACAATTGGGGAATTCAAAATTTACAAGGCCATAAAACAGGACCTGCAAAATGTTTTGTATGACAAGCTCTCTTTCGTATCAAAAATTTGGAATTCCCTTAGATACCTACCTACATATTCTGTAGCATGTGGCTTGCGTAAAAGAAAACATACTTTGACGAGAAAGTTTTTTCTATAAAGATCAGCACAGCAGTAGGCATTATTCAGTTATTTATCTAAAATTATAGATCCAAAATAAAAATAGATTTTTCCCCTCTAAGAGTCGATTCATATTCTTTTGAAAGATGTACACCTACTGTACTGATTTTAATTACCTAGACTCTAGACATAGTCATAGACCAAAGCAATACAGATAAGAAACAAAAATTGAACCAAGGACTCTCAGTGGCAACCAATGCTACTGGTCTCTAAAACATCCTAAAAAGCAAAATTCTCTCCACGAAAACTGAAATGAAGGTCTATAAAATATAATATTAGTACCTAGTTACATATGGATCAGAAACCTGGGTATTGTCCAAACATGATGAAAAGAGATTGATAACTATTGAAAATAAAATGCCTACTTAGAAGGATATTGGGACCGATAGTAAAAGATGGAATATGGAGGATAAGAACAAACCAAGAATTGAGAGACATCTATCCATAAAGACAAAGACATTATACTGTAGCTTTAATCAAAAGCAAAATACTGATGTGGGCAAGACATATCTATATAAGACAAGGGAGTCAAATTTACGAGTGGTTTTCGACGCAGTTCCTGCAGGGAGGCGACCACTGGGCAGACCGAGATTGCGGTGGTGGGACCAAAGACATGAGAAGAATGAATGTTACGGAAGAACTGATGGAAGACCGAGGAAGATGGAGAAAAGCTGTTGTCGAGGCCAAAAACCTGCTTAGGTTTGAGTGGCCAACTAGGTAAGGTAAGGCAAGGTAAGATCTGAAATAACAAACTAATAACAAATAAAATTTTCTTGCAGACATATAGAACTAACTGACCACAACAGAAAACTATTGAAAATGCACAATGATGCTACAAGGGCTATTGTGTATCTGATTAAAAAAAGGATAAAGGTGGCAGTCGCCCAAACAACAAAAGAAATCATCATAATGAGACATTTATTACATCTGTTCGATATTGACCATCTTTTTGACTTCATGGAGTTGGATATGGATTCTCCTGTGAATCATGTTAAAATGTAAGTTCTCTCAATTGTTTTTTTATTACTTTTTTTAGATGTTTAGCCTCTGGCCTGTTTGTAGAACATAAGCTAAGACTGGCTGGGTAGCTGAAAGTTTATTGTGCTCGCCCATCAAACAATGGTTGCCAGATTGATCCTGAGAAATGTTCGTAACTTTTTGATGGTTCAAAACTGGATCACTCACTCCAATCTACACTCTGAAAATACGCACATAGGTGGCATCCCCATCCCAATGATTTATAGTTGATAATAGTTAATAGGTGTAAACAAATCTTTAAAATCCTTTAATGTAAAGTGTTATTAATATTTTCAAATAATTTATATACTGTATTGTTTTGTAATTAATCCCCTCAGGGGTAGTTGTCTGTAAACTACAAGGGAGGCCTCTTGTGGGTTGGTGACCACGAGGTACCCTAGCCAACCCCCAGATCCCCCCTCTTCTTTGTTCTGGTTTCTATGGCCAGCATACTACATCCTTTGCTGGCTCTTCTTTCTTCTTTGATTTCCTATTGAACAACTCTTCTTCCCTTCTTCCTTCCTTTGCCTATTTATCAGCCGAACTTCAGTGGTGTAAAGCGATCCATGCTAAAGAGGTGAATACCACCGTGCTCCCAAGTGGTGTGGTTTGTACAAAGCCTCTAGGATTCCAGGCGACTTGCTAGAGTAACAGAGTATGAGGTGCTCTGCCTGGGCTCGACCTTCAGCCTCACAGCAGTTGTCTGGTGGGAACGTTATGGTTTCTAGAAAACCTAAACCCTACCAGAACCCTCAAAGACAATATCTCGAGAAGACCCATATTTGATGACACCCCAAAGACCAGAGGAACACATACCAGGCCAAACTTTGGGTCTGTATGTCAAAACGAGTGTGGCCAAGCACCCTAGGAGGTGCAACGGTCACTCCACCATCGGCAATAGGAGGCATTCAAAGAAGGCCAGAGATTCAACCCGTACGTCTGATGAGGGTCAAGACGCAGGGGTATTTCAACAAACACCTTCAAACTCTGGGAATCATCACATCATTCTGGATTACTACAGGCTTTGGGGCTAAAAGGGCACTGTTTTGTCAAAATCAGCTAGGTGATTAATCAGACGCTAACATTCGGCAAAGCTCCCGGACCTGGTCAAGGACACAGCACAGGCATAGCATCTAGTTGGTAGCAAGTGGGAAATGCACAATTTAAGCTTTGGTTGATGTGCTATAGCATAGGACCCTGATGAGTCCGCCCCTTCTCAATACAATACAATACAATTTGTAATTAATTGAGAAGAAAATCAATTTCTTTAATCTTATTTTTAACTACTCATACTTCATCTTGTTTTAATACAAATTGAAAATTGTAATGCCTTGCTGGATTTTTTTAACAGTAATTATTTTCAGAATCAAAGAAGAATCTGGGTTTGACTATCAGGATCTCATATATTTTGGAACAAACCAAACCATTTTAAATGAAATTAAAGAAGCATTAAATGTGACAACTATACATGTCAACTCTGAAACAGGGATCAGTTTCAAACACATATATCAAGCTGTGTATATTTATAATATCAAGGACTATATGAAAGTAGTCCGAGGTAAGCTTACATTTCTTGGTAAAATTGTTTCTGACGAAGAATTTGAAATTAAGCCCCTAGTTCAAAAGATGAAAAGTAAAAGAGGGACAAATTCAAAACAGTTTCGACAATTTTCCCCAACACTTGGATCATCCTTTAATGTAACAAAGAAAATCACTAGAAACATAGATTTTACATCACATAAAGTAATGAAGCCTCCTAAAAAACAATCACCGAAGAGGATGAAGAATGGCAGATCTAGAATATTGACAACAAAATCACAAATATTGTTTAAAAGTAAAACTGATCAAATAAGCAAAGAGATTATTACAAGAATATCTGGAAATGAACAAAAAACAGTGAATTCAACTCATAGTAACAAGGAAGGAGGTAGGCCTAGTAGAAAATCTAGAAAAAAATGTGAAACACCATCTATGCCTAAGTTAGAACCCTTAAGCAAATTTTTGAAGAATGCAAGAACCAGAAGAAAAAATACTTGAAAAATTAAACCTCAAAGTAATTTAAAAAAATATTTAATTTACATTTGAACTATATAGTTGAAATAGAAATATGGGTTGCATCAATTTTATTCAAGCCTATTGAGTCTATTTTGTAAATAAAAACATGTTCCTATTTAGTCTAGGCCTACAATTTTTCCCCGACTGAAAAATATATTTTCTTTCGAACTTCGATCTAAATACCAACACTACAGAAATCCAGATCTCTGGTTTTCCTGATATTTTTCTTTTGTAAAAGCCTTTAAAATGAGGTGTCACTCACTGGGCTTTAAGTCAAAATTGTAAAGCTACTGCCCTAAAATATGGCCTTGCCAAAATACCCCATCTTGGTGTTTTGGGCGAAATTGTAGAATCAAACCAGCAATTGAACTTTTATACTAAAGACCATTTTAAAACGTTTTTATTTGCTCGCTTTCTTGTCCGGTACAAATTTTGCAATCAATTTTAACATCCCGATGAGCTAGAGAATTTAAACTTGAAATAGGCCTATAGTTCACAAATGGATGACAATGCAATATTATATACAGTAGAACCTCTTTAATCCGAACTAATTGGGACCGGGGGTAGTTCGGATTATTGAATAGTTTGGATTACAGAACATATTTTTGTTTTTACATAACAATAGCTAAAACGTTGCTAAAATGGCTCCTAATTGTTACAGGAAAAGTGAAAAAATGCTTTATAAAGTAAAATACAATGTTTATTTAATACAGTAGTAAACATAGTGAATCAACAGTACACTGTACATTAAAGAAGAAACAATTACGGTGCGTAAGTATACCATAAATAACTACTGTACTGTGAATAGGGTACAGTTCAATGAGACGTTCAGATTAGTGGATGTTCGGATTATGGGGGTTTGGATTAAAGAGGTTCTACTGTAATTTAATTTTCATATTTCCCTTGGGCTATATACACCTCATGAGCTTGTTTTTATTAGCGCTCCCTTTCTTACAAATTTTTATATCGATTTCAAACTAACTTCCTGTTGAGTTAGAAACTTGAAACTAGCTCACAAATGGATGACAATGCAATATATACTATATCATTTTATTTTCATAATCTGACTGGTAGTTTTGGGACTTAGAAACTCTTCTAGAACCATTCTCGTCCCTATTAGAACGGTTCTGGTCTAGTTTTACGGACGAGCCCTCACATGCCCACATTTATAGCATTTAAAGGAGTTATCAGGGTTTGAAGTTCTTGTTTTTGAGGAATAAAAGCTTTACCTCTTCGTCTAGCTTTGCTACTATGCTCCTGAGCTCGTCAAATGATTTTGGTTGAGCTACCTTAACGAGAGACCTAATCTTATCATGTAAAAGTTCCACAATATAAGAAACTCTCAATACCGTACCCCACCATCATTCATTCCTCTTAAACAACTGTAACTTTTGAATAACAAATGTCCCAGCTCTCATGAACCAGCAACTAACTACTAACAGCTACTAGGCTGAACATCTGCCAAGAATTTCTTAGTGATTAATGCTTTGACAGCCTCTGAATTAAATCTCTGCATAAACTCAATTTTGAATACATCCCATCCTAGACTTAGACCACAGACAAATATAATACTCTAATTTAGACCCTTAATGTTTTGCCACTAAGCACCTGCCAAACCCCTCAACTGTTGCCTCAGAATCTGCAGATATATTTCCGACGGTATACACACGTCCGTTTGCAAACCAACACACGTCGTTGGTTTCCAATTAATTTAATTGATCAGTGTTACCATCAAAATTTGTTTATAATTTTGTTATTTTATCAATGATAAACACAACATCTGTGTTTAATAGTTTTCTTATTATAGTATGTTTGAGTAAGCTGAATGCAAATTTAGTATCCATATAGCAATGATTCATTATAATTTAATATTAACATTGATCAGCTGGTTTATTGGTTTAAAAATAAATGTAATGAAAAGAACATGAGTTTTATTAGCAAAATAATTTAATCTATTAATTTTGAACATTGGTGCCGAAACTTTTGCGAATCAACTAAATGTCGACTACTGGAGCATTTACAAGGTCCAAATTCAAGAAGTCTGCTATAAAATCTCAGGATTTTGATGGTAAAAATAATGAGGCAGTAAGTGATAAGCATATTCCTTTGTCGGTAAGATCTCATAAAACTAGCTCAAGTAGGAGTAGGAATGAAAGTGTTTTAGAGGTTATGGACGAATTGATTAAGATACAGGAAGAAGAAACGTCCCTTGTTGTATCATGTGCTAAAGCAAAGGCGGCGGCGGAGAAAGCAGAGGCAGAGGCAGCAGTAAAAATAGCAGCAGCTGATGAAAGACTTGCCCGAGTGGAGGAAGAAGCCAAGCGGAAGGAAATAGAAATGAAGAAGAAGCTACTTGAAGACAGACTGTCATCGCTTAGCAGAGGATCGTCAAGAGTCAGTAGCAGATCATCTAGGACTTCAATTTCTTCTCTTCCACGACCGTTGCCCACAAAGGAAGCTGTTGAAAAGTGGATGCAGACAAAGGATCAAGCTGAAGACATTAATAAAAATAACGTTTTGAAGCCTTGTACTAATGTTCCAGTAAATATTATGAAGAGTGTACAGCAGGAGGTATCCTTGCCGCATCACGAAGTACAGTCTAGTTTCCAGCCTCGAGAAGAAAACTGTGAAAATCCTGGAGAAGCAAGGACTGTAGCTTTCAGCGAAGGAAGGAGAATTCCTCGAGATGTTTCGTGTTTCCCTCGAGATTGTCAACCTGATAAAATGATATTTAGAGAGAAGATGCCGGCGAGAATATTGTCAGCTCTACCTAATTTCAGCGGAGATCTAGACCAATGGCCCGCTTGGATAGCTGAATACAGGCGATCTACTGAAATTAATGACTACACTGATTTGGAGAATCTTCAAAGACTTCAGAAGTGTATTACTGGAAAAGCTAAAGAAATGATATCAGCACTGTTGATATATCCTGAGAACGTACCAGAAATTGTTAATTTGTTGGAACGGCGTTTCGGAAGACCAGATATAATTATTAAAAATCTCATAGCAAGCGTGAAAGGTCGACCACCAACTAAGGACTACAAGCCTGACACTTTGGTTGCTTTTAGTGACATGGTAAGGAACTTAGTAGTTACGGTAAAATCCTTGAAGCAGGACCACTACTTGTTTAACCCACAACTTATGGAAGAGCTCACAGAAAAACTGTCCACCAACATGAAGCTCAACTGGGGAATGTTTGTCACTTCACCACAGTCTCAATTGAAACAACCAATTGGCCTCGACAGCTTTTCGACGTGGCTCTCTTCTGTGGCGGATGCAGCAATTATATGTACTCCCAGTACATCTACTAGTGGAAACTTTAAAAACATGTCATCAAGATATGAATCAAACTCCAAGAACTTTGTATTAGTACAACATGAAGGTGACAAGAAGTTTAAAAAACGTATATGTGTTTGCTGTAAAAAACAAGACCATACATGACAGAATGCAAGCAATTCCTAAAGTACGATGTAAATAAAAGATGGGAGACAGTCAAGAGTAACAGTCTGTGTTTCAATTGCTTGAAGACTAAACACCGAGCGATGACTTGTCGTAACAAACTTGCTTGTGGAGTTAATGGCTGCACCTATTTCCATAATAAACTGTTACACGTGACCTCAAAAGAAGAAGGTGCTAATAAAGAGACACCTAAATTGGAAATTCACAGTGAACATATGGGGTTTCAAGAAGAACCTGTTGCAAGAGTGTTGTTGAGGGTTCTCTCAGTAACATTGGTAGGAAAAAATGGCAAGCAAATTGAAACATTTGCTTTAATTGATGACGGTTCAACTATTTCTGTCATCGAAAAGGGATTGGTTGAAGAACTCGAAATTGATGGACCTACTAAACCTGTATCTTTCTCCTGGACAGATGGATCTGTTTATACAGAAAAAGAATCTCAGACTGTAACACTGACAGTTATAGGAGATAGGTACAGGCAAACACTTGACTCTAAACAACGTGAAGACTTTGACAGCCTTGCAGTTACCAATACAGTCTATGAATTCAGAACAAATGAAAAATAAATGGTCTTATTTACAGGAAATCCCTGAAGAAGTGTTTCAGCGTGGTCGTCCACGACTACTGATTGGACATGAACATGTACATTTGACAGTGCCTCTGAAAGTAATCATTGGACCTACAAATGCACCGATTGCTTTGAAGTCGAAACTAGGTTGGACAATAAATGGTCCTACTGGAAATGTAAACCATCAAACTCGTATAGACAACGACTTTGTTATGTTTAAACATGAAACAAATTCAGATATGTTGGAGCTTAACTCACTAGTTAAAGAAAGTTTTGAGAGGGATTTTATCGACTGCCCGATTAAGGAATCCAATAAAAGTGATGAAGAAGTTAGAGCAGAAAAAATATTGGAAAATACCTGTTCACAAACAGAAGATGGTTGTTGGCAAACTGGTTTGTTATGGAAAGAAGACAAACCATGGTTACCAGAAAGTCGTTCCGTTGCATTGAAGAGATTTAACTACGTTGAAAATAAAATGAAAGAGGACCCAAAACTATGTCAACAATATCATCAGAAAATAGCAAGTTATGCTGAAAAGGGATATGCAAAAAAGTTAAATTTGGATGAGGTGAAGAACAAAAGTGAGAAAACCTGGTACCTTCCTCACTTTCCTGTCTACAATCCCAGAAAACCAGACAAGTTCCGTTTTGTGTTTGATGCTGCGTCAAAATCACATGGAAAGAGCCTGAACAGTTGTCTACTACCTGGACCAAATTTATTCAATAGTCTGATAAGCATTCTGTTCCAGTTCAGAAAACATGAAATCGCATACGCAGCAGATATTGAAGAGATGTTTTTGAGAATAAAGATTATTCCAGAAGATCAAGACTCACTACGTTTTTTATGGAGGGAAGAAACTGACGGAAAATTACAGGAGTGGTGTATGACATCAATGATTTTTGGGGCAGTTTGCTCACCAACCAGTGCCATTTACATAACTAGAAAAAATAGTGAAAAACATGGAGAGGAACATCCAGATGCAAAGCTAGCTGTAAATCAACAAGTCTACATGGATGATTATCTTGATAGCAACCAATCTGTGGA